TTATGTCAACGATCCCCTTCGGGATGAAGGACGGTTCTCTTTAATAGAAAGTCGATTTAATAGACGCGAGAGAAAGACTAGTTAGATATTATCTCGGGAAATGATCGATGATATAGCGAAATTACGAGCAGCCTTCGCGAGATAAAGCCATGTATGTACATACATATACATATTTCATGATGGCGGCGCATAGAGCTGATAGAGCTCTAGCAAGATTAATAAGTAAGCGATCGAAAAAAAGATTAAAATCATTCTTTACCTATATAAAAACTTTACTCTAAATTTTTGTTTGTTCTATCATTTTCGCCTTACGAAACGTTATTTCAGTCATACGATTTCCAGTCGCTGTACATGTATGTACATATACATCTATGATTCTACGAAAGTAATGTATATCACGGTTTTCTTTACTTTTAAAATGGAAGTTGATCTATAGGATTCTGCCTTTTGACCATAAACGTGAAGATGTATTTACCGTTATCGCGTTTTCGATTCCATAATGTAAGCATGGACGTCACGTCGTGGCTTTCGTTTTTGTGAAAACAATATCCAAGGGGATCCGTAACTGGAAATGAGAAAAATGGAATTCTTCGTGGGTTTTCCATTCCGAGTATATAGGAGGGTTATACAAGTAATGGTATTCGCCAATATACACACAACCACACCCTGTAAATACGTCATACGTTCTCGGGGAGAGATGCAGATGGACAGAAATATTACATACTTACAGAAGATGTTGCTACGTGCGCAACGATATTTTGGTTTCGTGTTTTCTTCAAATTGAAATATTTATGCACGACGTATTTCCAGATTCTAAAACCGAGAGAGATGCAATGTATACGTTATCAGAATTGCATGTTCTATTTGAAATAAGTATATCAAACGCTTTTAATATCGTGATACACTATAAATTTGTAATTCACGAGTCTTGTAGTTTAACCTGAATCTTATAATAATCGCTATCCTATTGATCTCTTCTTATAATGCAATTACAATGTAAGAATCATATGAGTTAGAAATTATAATTAAATTTAAAATTAGTTTTTCTCTGCGTTGCGTTTTCGAAATACTTGATAACAAATTTAAGATATAATCTTGCGATTATAACTTAAGTTAAAAGCAGAATCGTTATTTTCACGCTTTACAGTTTTATTTTGAGAAAACTACTATGATGAGGTTTGGATATGCATTTTAAATACTTCAAATATAAGTTATTCCAGACGTGAGAACTCTTTCTTTTCTGACATGCTTTCTCGTGCTATGTATTTTGCTTCTCGGAACCGCAATGCAAAAAAATAGATTCTGCATTGTGTTAGATTCTGCTATGCTCATAGGAATTGAAGTTAAAACGATTGTAACTTCATGTGATCGCAAAATACCACGTTTACGTGCACACACAGATATACTCTCATTTTTAATGTTTTTTAGATTATTTGCAACCGTCTATCAATATTTGTTTAATGGCAATGGGGCAATTGTTAATTCATTACATAATTGATATGATAGAACACGAATTTGTGATATTTTTCAAACAAATACTCGTATGTGGAGTGGTTTTATTTATTATTTGATTAATTTTTAATCGCGCAGTTTTTACGTCTGTTGATTTAACGATTATATTTAACAATTATTTCTATTTCATTCGCTTTGCTACGTTTATATTAAATTCCCTTTGCTCGCCGGATATTGTCCAGGCTACAAAAATGTTTAATCTCACGAATGGATTTCACGCAAAATAAAGTTCATTCAGACTCAAGCTATTCCGAAGGGACCGCTCGAGATATTGCACATTATAAAATAAACAACCACCTAAGAAACTTCCGCTTTAACTTCGAGCCCTACTCCAACTACTACTTTCACCTTGGAAAATTCGAAGTACCTTAGGTCCAGCGTAAAATTAAAGTATCGTAAAACGGCCTGAATGGAGTCATTTTTAAATTTATACTGTAATTTTATTTCACAAGTACAGTAACTTTAAATTAATACATAATATTAAGAAATCATAAAAATACGTAGAAGCATACGTACGAAATTGGCAACATTAATAAACAATATAGGAAAAAATAAAATTTACACTATCAATTCTATTTCTTTAGTTTACATTATGTATATCATTAATATTATGCCGCTAGTCACGATCGCGAGCACAAGAGTATCGCTCGTTTCACTCGAGATGCGCATAATGCGGCCATTTTCCAGATGAGATGGGCAACATGGGCTCTCTTTGAAGAAAAAGTGATGATGTAAACAACGCGATGAATGTCTTGAGTGAAAAAGGGATTATCACGGGCACGTTGTAATATTCTCGTACACGAGACGAAGAGGGACTAACGCGAGAAAGATGGTGCGAGGGGAGAGAAACAAGAAACTACAAAATTGTTTGCCGAGAAACGGGAAGCCAGATAGCGGAAAGCCGAGCGGGAGAGAGAACGAGACACCTAGCAGGCGAGGATCTGATTTACTCGCTGCAGGTGGATGTAGATTTCCGCCGTCGTTCCTGCTTTTAGAAACTCGACGCTTCTGAAACACGGCGCCGCACGAAATTCTCGAAATTCAAGGATATAAACTCCGATAACCGATTTGTCGAACCGATTTTCACAACGCGCGTAAAAAAATGTTTATCTGATTAAAAACGAGACGCACTTATCTATTCAATAAGAAATTGATCAGCAGCTATTATTTATTGATAAATTGCACAACAATCATAAAGCAAAAAGATGAATCAAATCTTTTTTTATAAAATTCTCTTGGAATTGCAGTTTAATTTTTTTAATAATAAACACTTAACATATTAAATTGCAATATTAAATATAATATTAATGCAATATTAAATCAATCTAATTATAAAGCAATTAAAATCATTAATTGAAGATGATTGGTTTAAAATTATCAAAATATTTATAAGATTTGTTCTTTTTAAAAATTCAAGAAATTAAAAATCTTCCTTTTTAGTCTTGTAGAGGGTTCAACCTGAAGCTATACCGATTCCACGCTTTACTGCAAACTCTACTTTGAACAACAGTAACTGGAGAAGGTTATTACGTTCCTATTCTGTCTTTAGGAAAGTGGTAAATGGAGCGAATGAATTTTGACCTTATCTGTGCGCGGTTACTCTCGATAAGAACCGCTGAGCCTTTACCCTAAGTCTAGAAACCGATAATGTCGGAATGCATAAAGCCAGTTGTTTATGAACCGCAAGGCAATCGTAAGGAAGTAATCGGCGCGGAAACTCTGATTTAATAAATACCGGGTGCATTCGAGAAGAACAAATTTACAAAAGTAATTAAAACAATTAATGAGAAATGATATTCCACGCTCTTTCCTTCATTAAACTTATATTACTATCTAAAGAGATAAATTTATATAATAATAATTTTATCTACAAAAGAGTATATGTATATGTATATACTCTTTTAATATAATTCAGATAACATGACAATATTAAATAGATTGAAAATGTTTTCACAGTATTAAAAGTATAATAATTAAATTCTACTCAGATACACATAAATTATTCTAAACTGACTATACTCAGTATCTCGAGACCGACAAAATACCGTCCAGCAGATCTTTTTAAAGTATCGAAACCGAAGTGCAGGATATAAGAGCACTCCAGTCAGAAACTTAGCTTATCACACTTTGAAATCGCACGATAAAGGGAAAACCTCCTGTAAGGCATCGTCTTAAAAATTTGTGAGCAAGCCCCTCATGATGTTAGACACGACGAGAGCTTTCTCCAGTAAAATACAGGACTTAGCTACCGAGATGGTAGTGCAGTCGTATGAGGTTATCAAGTTTTAGCCCGAGGAGAGAAAGCACGTTGTATCGACCTCATAAAGGGAAAAAAAGAACGCTTTAAAGTCTTATATTGAGATGCCCTTGTCTGAAAATTGCACAAAATGCAATATCATATAGGTAGCCACCTTGCTTTCCAAGATGCAATATAAATTCGACAAAGAGATGTTATACACGAAATAGTATTTCTCTTCTGCAAGATATTACCCGCTATTACATGAATTAATTTAATTTATATCTTTGCATTTAACAGTAAAGAAACATCCGTCTGAATCTCATTTCGCGTTTATATTAAGTGGGTTATTCGCATTAAAGAAATAGCAAAAGTTCTAAAATCAGACAATATTATTCAGATATAAACCTTTGTTTTCAAGAGATCATTTGAAGCAAAATATGTACGTAATTATCAAAGTATTTAATCACCGTTTGAAAAATTTAAAGTAAATTATTATAATATTCCTGTAGATATTTCTGCGACGATCTGTGTAGTAAAAGTAATAGACAATAACTCTAATTTGAAAAAAAAGCAATAAACAGCTTTTGTAAGAGAAACACAAAGGCCGGTACTTCTCTACTCGTTAAATCAAAGCGGATCTGCACTTTATTGTGAATTAAGTTGCTTGCAGTTTCGTGCAGGCGAGCGACAACGTTAAATCTCGACGTTAGTTACCGGGTATTGAAAGTTAAAAAAGAGAACGACAAAAAGTTAAAAAGGCGCGTACGAGAATTGCCAGGTATCGCGTTCGTTTTCAAGGATGGAATTTGAACACCCAATTTAGTTGCTCGCCTTCCTGCGTGCTACTCATATATCGTTACTCCGTTCAATCGCGTTAAAATTGGAGAATCGATTGTTCTCGACGAAAACCCGCCTTTTTCCTTTTTTAACTACATCTGAATGCTGCGATTAATTGGAATTGGATTGTATTATGTTGGCTAAAGAACTGTAATAAAAAAATTAATGTTACATTTCCAACTAATTAAAAGGCTTTTACTAATAACACCAGAAATACTAGTATTGCTTTTAATTGCTGATTTTGCAGCTTCAATAATTTATTCCATTATTTTGTACCAAAATATTTAAATTGTAATATAGCGACAACACGATCAAAAATTTTTAATTTGACTATTATGAGAAAACACTTTGAATAAAGATATTCCTACTGAAACAGATTGTACGTCACTTGATTATACTATTACTGTTTTAGTTACTGGAGCGTCCACGGGAGAGGCTGAAGATCCGCGATGGAGCACGTACAGCGCTCGAAAAACTAGTCGATCCTCGTTGCCACGATCCTGGCCGTCCTCGAGTCTAGAGCATGCCGCGAGGGAGACTAGACCCTCGAATGGCAAGCTCCCAGAAACTAGCTCTTGGAGCGTAGACAGATCGAGCCCCGGAACTCGTTCGGATCCGAGTTTCCTGGGAACGGTGGTCGAGAGATCCGAAGAAGACGAGGACGGGAGGAGGATGCAGTCGCCGAGGGGCAATGACATCGAGAACGCAAGGATCACAAGCCATAACCCGTCCATCTCCTCCAGGAGCAACGAAACGAGCCAGACGGATCCGTCCAATCGGATTTCCATCGAGTCATCGTCCTCGCAGTCGTCGACGATTGGCTATCACCTCGTGAGGACCTCGTCGACTTCTAGAAGCTCCTATGACGTAATTCGTACCGAATCTCGTAGCATAGTAACGATTATTTGAAAATTTAGTCACGATTAAGGCTACAGATGTCCCGAATGTTCAGAATAATAGTTCTCAAGATTAGTAATTAGATTTCTTCGTATATTCTTACTTCTTTTATCTTATAATCTGATTTGTTAAATTCTTAAACTAGAGTTGTAATTGGAGTCACGATTGGGACAATGGATTATTTAAATTATCTTATTGATAATTAAATAGAATTAAAAGTTTTCAGAAGTATCTGCATCAATTTTTTATAGATCTTTGCAAAATCTCGATAGATTTTCTCTTATGAATAAATTAAACATTAAGCAAGACATCGACATTAAACAATAGTACCTCTACACGATATACCTCTCATCAATATCTCTCACAATGACATGATAGTCGTAATTATTCAGCGTCGTTTCCAATATCGTAATACGAACGATAACTATAATTCAGCGCTATTGCAATGCCAGTTGCCAAAGTGGAATTAGGCTTCCATTTAATTAACGGCGTAATATCTCGGATTAAAGGCTTATATAATCCATTGATCATATAAATTTTCAATCTTGAGCAGTTCAAATTAACGCGACACGCACGCAACGACAAATGCCGCGAAGAGATTTTCTCACGTTAAAGTTGCTCGTGCTCATCTTCACATGTTTCACAATTTTTCAAAACGTCATTGCATAAATTTTAAATACTGTATATTATTTTGTCGTGTAATGATCCCTCGCATATTAATTCAAATGTGACTTTACAATGTGTGCAGATAGTGCCAACACTCGAGACACGACTATCATTCGAGACGCTCTCGCGCGAGAACTTGAAAAACACGACGTTGATGACGACGTCCACTAAAGACATCGCCATGCTACGACGCCACATGAGACACATCCCGAGCGAATGTGAGAAGTTTGAAGTCGGGGATCCAGCAAAGAGGGAATTTTATAGCCCGAATTATCCCGCTGATTATCCAAATAATGTGAATTGTGTTCGAGTTTTGGAAGGTAAGTCACTCTCTTATAAGTAAAAACAATAGAATTTAAGCTAAAAAAAGATAACTTAAAAGTATGGGGGTTCTATCTTGCATATCATTCATGAGTTAAAAGTCTGTGATTGATTGTGAAGCGACTACAAAGTCCAAATTAATCAAAGATAAATAATTTATCAGGCAATCATAGCTTGTGTATTAAACCGCGAGTCTCGCATCGCTGACCGGAATATTGAGGGAACAATCATTTTCGCGGCGGTGGTTCAATGACCAATAATCGATTTTCTACACGTACATATCGTATCTCTCTGAGAAATCGATTTTCAAGCAAGCTTCGAGAGAACTTTTACAAGATTGCTCGCGGCAAGAACACGCTAGCCAGATTTCACTTTACTGCTGCGCACCGTTCGCTGATAATGCGGGGAAAAAAGGCGAGCGTGTTGGAATGGCGAACTCTTTCCGGACGAGGAAAACCTTTGATCCACGATTCTCTGGTATCCCGGGGCAAATGTTTTGAACAAACATCGTTTCCTTCCGAGCGAAATTCCGGTTAAGTAAAGAGCGTTAGACCCAACTTATCTCTTGAACATGGATTGTATAATAGCATGCACGATCTGGTTATTATCCATATATGAATATGCTATAATATCACAATCCGCGCGCATCCTTTACGGAAATTTATTGTTAATGTTAAAGTTAATTTACAAGCTTTTTATTTCTTAATATAATGACACTGATAAAATCTTAATTTATTCGTTTTCATCGATTATATATATATATATATAAAACAAAATTTATAGATATATTTGTGCGTTAATTTATAACAAATGACATATCTGAATAAATAAGCTTTAAATTCTTAATAAAATGATTTTTGATACAACTGTTATAAACAATTGCTATATGTACAATCAAAAATTTGTAAAGACAATATGCAATATATAACTTTATTTTAAAGCACCGCAAAAGAAGACAAAAACCATTTTATTGAAACAACTATATTATTACGTAATTTTCATAAATTGGATTGAGAAGCGTACAATAAACTTTAATATCGTAAATCCAATTGTATTGAAAATTCTATAAACCAGCTTATCGAGAAATATCGAGATGTTCCGACAAATACGATTCTTTTATTCTCCAAAATTCAACATTTCTGTGAAAAATTACAATAATTTCCTCATGCAAGTCAAATAATAACAAAAACATAAATCTTACAATGTATAAAAAAATATTATTTGGAATAATCTGCTCAATGAATTTCGGCGCACCTTGTAAAAATGCCGGTATTATTGTCGAATAATGGCGAACATGACTGCCGAAACTATCTTCATTCATATTTATTCTATACCGTGAGAAACTTTGCAGAAATACTATATGCTTCTCGTTTCATATGTATAAGTTTAATGCAACTTCGTAGCTTGAACATGACTGAACTTTCTGGAGGAGTAGGAGAGACTTCGAGTGATTGATACATCCCGGTGGTTCGGTTCGTTGGCTAAGGATACCGCGAGAAGATAGTAAATTTTCCTAGACTGGCCTACAAAAGAGTCGAAGCTGTAAAGCGGAAGAAACGCAGAATGGACTACCTTTATTCCAACGATCACGGTTTTCATTTTAATCGGAGTAGTTTTTTTAATGATAAATGTGGTTCAAAGGTACTTAATTGATGGATTATCAAATTGTATTTAAAAAAAATGTTAAACAGATATAATATCAGATTTATAAATTGTCAGTAACTGATATATTATTAATGTAATGACAATGTTAAAAATTAAAAATTGATTTTTGCTCTTTAGAGTCCATGCACAATGAAAGGAATAAGGAATTAAACATAGAGAGAATTCATAATCGCATCTTATTTCAAGACATAATCTTTCTTTTCTCTCTATATTTAATTCTTTGTTCCTTTATTCTTCTCATTGTGCATGGGCCCTTATTTTGTATTTATCTGTTACACTTTTAAATTATTATATTTAATCGAACAACCAATAAAACGAAAAAACTTATTGTCAGTTACGACAATATTCGTTAATTATGCATCGTTATATTTCGCGTCAAGGAAAATAATGCACAACAAATGATTTCGCATTTTATGCTTGGCACACTCAAACGAAGCGACGCGAGACAGTCGTAGGTAGAAAGTCGAGAAAGAGAAAAAAATGGCGAACGTTCGGTGAAATCATAAATCTTCGTGAATCCAACCACTCTCCTTGTCGGTGGCTGCACGAAAGCAATATCTCGATAACGAATCGATGTATCTACGAACGACCGTAGAAGCTGCTCCTAGTCGTTCAGACGAAAAATGTCTCTCCGTTTCGAACTACTCACTCGTGCAAGATTCAAAGGATTCAGAGAAGCTTTACTTTTTTTTTCCAAATTGTATCAATTAGATTGATAGACTTATCCGTATCCAGAAAAAATTATAGAATAAAATATCATTTGTATTATATAATTTAACTACACATTTAATTATTATTGCAAAATTATCTATATTTTTTGTTTTATTAAGTATAAATTTATAGAAGACAATGATTTCTAATATGTGAAAAAAACATTTAATATTTTAATATTAATACATAAAATTATTTGACATACAACTCTCTTACTCAAAATAAATCAAAATAAAATTATATCAAATTAATCAATATGAGTCGTGATTGTATATATAACCTTAGTAATTTAATTCGTAGAGATTTGTCGATCTCTCTTTTAATTTGGAACCTCGAGATGCGTCGGATTAGGCAATGCGCGGCAGCTGGCTCTTGTTTGAATTTAAGTCAGGGTCGACGAGCCCCGCTCGTAAGTTATCGAGTCTTCTTCGTGTGTACTAAAATAGCGACCGTGATGATTACGGTGGTCCTCGACCAAATCTCGCAGACTGTGAAGTACAGACGTGCGCACAGTACAAATGCCGCCATACACAATGTCGTAAAACTAGAGAAAATGACATTTGCACGAGAAGAAATATAATAAAACAATAAATGTGTTAAACTCTAAAGATATCGGTGACATTTCGAGGACTGACATACCTATTGTTTAGCATATTTTCTTCCAATATGGCAGATTTATTTTTCTGCAATTTTTTATTTAATTACTTATTTTAAATTTAATTTTCAAAACCGGGAAACGATCATAAATGTTGTTCAAAAATGAAAAATATGTTAAAAGTATTGTAGCATCCATGAATTTAATCACCCTTCTCGTCAATATTAAAACAAAATTGGATATTTGCAAAATATAATTTACGTAGTATTGAAATAATATATAATATATAATAATTTCTCAATAAATTTTTTCTATGATCACATATACACACACATTTAAACGTACATTGAAACGTTTCTAAACCCGGCTTTTCATCGCTCCGTTCTAAGCTCGATGTAACAAGCAAGAAATTGTAATTGGCTTTGGCAAAGGGACTAGTTTGTCATTGCATAATGATGATTGTATAACTGTGATTGCACTCGGAGAAGTGACTATAGCATATTAAGGCTTCCTATGTAAATTACGTCACGTAATTATCTCCAATGTCAATGCGGTTGGAATTAAGGAAGTTTCATCCTAATGAACTGTTCCCACTGTATTATCCGATATTTATTGTTAATAATTTTATCGATAAACAATAATTCTAACATTGGACTCAGTCATGGATTGTAGGGAGTTTAGTTTCGAACTCTGACTGATATTTTTTATAATAACGTCTTTACACTACACACAGTGATTTAAAAAGAATGCTTATTAGCATCAAAAGTTAAATCAATTATTGATTTAAATATGTGGATTTACTGTTCCAATAAAAGACTGTGTTTTCAAGATCGATAAATAATCGGCGCGCAGTTTACTACGTTGAAAAAAGTATACAAAATTCACACAAATATTATTATTAAGCTACCAAGTTTCAGCCCGACCGAAGATGAGGTCTTTTTTATTTAATTGTAACATATTGACTGCAATAAGAAATATTTTATTAATTACGTGTCTAGAGCTAATAAATATATATGTGTAGAAGTTAATTCAATTTGCAAAATTCTTTTTTCAATATAGATATAATAGAGCTAGTAAATTTACTTTGTAAAATTCTTTTCACACCCGCAAACTGTTTACAATGTTGCATGTTATTTCCGATAATTTAAATAAATATTTACGTTTTTTTTAATATTACGTTTTGTAAAATAAAACTGGACATGAACATTTTAAATAAATTATTTATTAATACAATAATGTATATAAATTGAAGATCATGAATGATGATTTAGCTCACAAATGAATGCATCTGCATAAATAAAACATAATTTTATTTATAAATCAACAATGTTTCGGTAATTATCTCGTAATAATTATTATATATAAAATTACGCGACGCGTAACACAAATTCGTTAGACTGCGAGAGAATTTATCCAGGTTAACTTTTAAAAAATAATATGTATTATCTGTTTAATGCAAAATATCTTCTCAGTTTATAATTATGTAATTTTGTCATGTTTTTATTTTAGTTACGTTTAGTTTCCTTATATACTTTATTTCGAACCACATGTTAAGATATTTTTATGTTCACATTTTACAACAAAACGTTACATGTTGCCATTGTGTCAATTGTTAACAGTCGCATAATTGTTAAATCTTTTAGTTAATTAAACAACTTGACAAACTTTAATCTAGACACCAAAATATCTTCACGGTGTCTCAAGTCACGTTCCTGGAATTTCCAAAATATATGGAGACCCGCGCATCGTCTGGCAATTCGCGGTCGTCACTTGGCAGGCTATCAGCAAGAAACTTCTACGGAATCTTGAGAAGGATCTTTGCCACTGCTATAAGCCACGTGTCCTACTCAAACATTTCCCCGTCTTATAATATGCTTGAATAGTACAATGTAATTTACATAACCTTCTAACGCAGTAATGAAATGCGTTGTATATTAAATTTTAATTAATTTTATCTTAAATAAACTTATACGTTACCTCATTTGATATAATATTCAGATTCGCATAATCGAGTGTTTAAAAGAGAAT